CCAAGGCGGTGGTGCCAGAGGAGAGTCTGGTGAGACAGGAGACGACACGAGCAGGGGGCAGAATCAGGACCAGACCTGGACGCTGCAACAAACACCTGACCCGACACAGCTACCTGACCAAACACAGTAACCGGAGGAGACTCGGTAGTTAGTGTGTAGAGGCTCGACCTCGGCTGAAGGATAAACGTGGCCAAGTGTCGGCCCGTCCGAGCACACGTGCAGTGGGTCACTCGCTGACTCGCAGGAGTGAACTGGTCAACCCCCCCATCCTGGAGATCAGCACCACTCACCAAGTTCGTGGAGAACGAGGGGAGGTAAAGACTTGACAGGGAGCCAGACGGGGCCGCCGAACACGGTAGGACAGTGGAGTAGTGGGCAAGGACAGGACCCCCAAAGGGGTCTGCCAGGGAGACTGCAACCGGCCGACTAAGCGGCGTGAGTGTCGTGCGGTCTCGATAGAAGGAGCGGGAAGCACCCGAGTCAAGGGTGAAGGTGTACAAGACCGTAGCAGGCGCAGCACCAGAGAGAGCACACTCACCAGCACCTGGAGCAATAGACTCACCAGCGCCTAGAGCAGCAGCCTCGCCAACACCTGGAGCAGGAGACGCACGAGCACCTAGAGCCGCAGCCTCACCGGCACCTAGGGCAGCAGACTGGATACCAGGGTCAGGCGGCACACACAGGTGACAGGCACCCTCAGCACTAGTAGACAATGCATACATGGCAGTAAGGATAGCATCATAGTCAAGAGCAAAGATATCTACCCTCTGCCTAAGCAGCTCCACCCAGTCGGGGAGCTCAGGGTCGTCGCCAAACTCTGTACGCCAGGCGTCGCTCAGACAGGTGAAGCAGCGGGACTCTGTGTGACCAACCGTCCCGCAAGGCTGACCAATCCGGACACCCGTGCGAATGGCGTACGGGCAGCGAGCAGTACTCAACGACCCTCTACTCATAGCGTACCACTCACGAAGCTGCTGGGGCGAAAGAGCCTCGCTCGGACGACGCTGCAGCTGCACCTGGCCACTACCAGAAGCTCCCGAACTACCCACTCCAGGGCGACTCCCACTACGGCCACCCCGACAACCCCAACTAGCGTACCACTCACGAAGCTGCTGGGGCGTGAGGGACTCACGCGGACGGCCCTGGAGCTGCATCTGGCCACGCCAGGAGCTGCAGAAGTAGTAGTAACAGCACTAACAGTAGTAGCGGCAGTAGTAGCGATAGCAGCGCGGGCAGGGCAGTTCTCACCAGTGGAGGGAAGGGCAGGCGCACGACGGCGGCGACGACGGGGCCGCTACAGCGGCAGGGCGGGGCCACGACCGCGGCAGGGAGCTCCGCGGCAGTTGGTGCAGGGCGGGGCCGAGCCGCGACGGCAGCTGGTGCAGGGCGGGAACAGGGCCGCGACGGCAGCTGTTGTAGGGCGGGGCAGTCCGCGACGGCAGCTGCTGCAGGGCGGGGCAGGCCGCGATGGCCGCTGCTAAAGGGCGGGGCAGGGCCGCGACGGCAGCTGCTGCAGGGCGGTGCAGGGGCGGCCGTCCAAAGGGCGGGCGCGGGGTAGGGCAGGGCGCTGCGGCGGGCAGGGGCGACGCCGCGCGGGTCTCGCAGGGGCGTCGCGACGAGCTGGGGCGACGCCCGGGTCCCGTTGGGGCGGCGTGATGCGCAGGAGCCGCGCCTCGCGGGTCCCGTAGGGGCGTCGCAACGAGGCGGTGGCGACGCGCGGGTCCCGCAGGGGCGTCGCGACGAGGCAGGGGGCGACGCGCGGGTCCCGCAGGGGCATCGCGATGAGGCAGGGGTGACGCGCCGCGACGAGGCAGAGGCAGGGCGACGCGTCGCGGGGTCCAGGGGCCGCGCCGCGGGGTCCAGGGGCTGCTGCGCGGGTGCAGGGCAGGGACGGCTGCTCCAGGGGCCAGGGGCGGCTGCTGCAGGGGCGGCTGGTCCAGGGGCCAGGGGCGGCTGTTGCACGAGCGGCTGCTCCAGGGGCCAGGGGCGGCTGCTGCAGTGGCGGCTGCTCCAGGGGCTAAGGGCGCGGGTAGGCAGGCGCTCGAGGGCGCGGGTAGGCAGGCGCTCGAGGGCGCGGGTAGTCAGGCGCAAGGCACGTGACATGGCAGGCAGGCACGACAGTGCGATTAGGGCAGGGCAGAAAAAAAAGTTTGTGGTGGGCCCTTAAAAAAAAAAACCGGTCCCACTAGGGAACCTGCTCTGAAACCATGTGAAAATTGCAGAACAAGGAATGACTGAACTAGCAAGGAGATGGGTGCAAGTGAGAAAACCTATCAGTGTTGTACCCCATACAGTCTACCCACTACAGCCAACACAGACTATGTCATATATGTTTGACAGTGGGTGCCGTCCGCCTCGTTGGACGCCTCACCACTTGTTGGTGTTTACCTGGCGCGCAAGCGTGTTCCGGATATTGATCACCTCTCTTAAAGGGTGGCAGGGGGGGGGGGGGGGGGGGGGGGGGGGGGGGGGGGGGGGGGGGGGGGGGGGGGGGGGGGGGGGGGGGGGGGGGGGGGGGGGGGGGGGGGGGAGAAGTGTAAGGAATTTCCCCGAATTCCTTATCGGGGTTGACTGCTTCGCGTATAGCCCCGATTTTTGGACTTTGCACGTTCGGCCGATCTCAACGCTGCCGAGGCCCCTCGCATCGCCTTCGGCATTCCCCGTCGCCAAACCAACACCCAACCTCACTTGTCCGAGGTTCCCTCCTAGCTAGGCTAGCTCCTACATTAGTCTGTGCCTTCATTGTTCTCAGTTCATTCAATCACAACCTCGTTATTCGTTTACCTGCGCACTCTCCTTTACAACTCATAACAACAGGTTTAGTCTAGTTACTCTATTTTTCGGCGATTGCGCCGTTGTGCCGTTGCGCTCTTTCGCCTTAGCGTTCTTGCTCCGTCTCTCTTTATAAAGTCTTTCGTGCACTCTGTTTAGCACAACTCATAACAGGACGGCTGTTTTTCCCATCAGGGAATGGCTCGCTAAACATCGCAACAAACTGAGTATTATGTATTTTTTTTCATTACTACACCCATTATCAAACAATATGGGAGCATGAGTTGTCACCTTTTGATGGAATCATACCCAGATATGTAGGTAATACGCGTTCTGGAAATCTGGACGAAGTGTATTTCGGCTACACTTCAGAACAGGCCTGTCGCTTGCAGGGCGTTTGCCCTGCTGGACCTTGAATTCCAGGGCTGGGTTGCCCTTGAAAACTGAAATTGATGGGTTGAGAAAATTGTGGCCCTGATTCATTACAGGGCTGATTTCGGGCTTAGGTCTGGAGTGTTAAGGGTAGATTTTAGGCGAGCCCTGGAACAAAGTCTTTCGAACTTCCCCTCCCACTCCCCCCCCCCCTCCCCCCCCAAACTCCTCCATTCCCCCCCCCCCCCGTTTCTATTTTGATTGCATTCAAGCCTGTCAAATTTGGAGTTGCGTGGCTGGACCACAGATTCAACTCAACCAACAACTGGTACTTGTACCAATTACAACCTCGCTCCCATCCCATGATACACAGACAGTAGCATGAACCAACATGCAGCAGCAAAACACATCTCAGATCCCCGTCATGTTGTGCACCCTCAGGCCTGAATGGGCATAGCAAGACACAAACCACATCTCAGATCTTTGCTAAGAGTTGGAAGAGGAGGAAGTCTGTTACGCGTGCGTAGTGAATGACGCTAACTAGTTTTTTTATTGCTAACTAGCTAATTTGATACTAGCGGAGTGCAGCTGTCAGCTTTGTGGTAGAACTGAGGCTGCAGAATTTTCCGCGGCTAACCTGATTTACAGGGAGGAATAAATTTCAGCCCTCAAGCCTAAAGGGCCGAGATTCGCCCCGACCCTGCTAAATACAGGGTCGTACATGCCGGGCCCCCTGATTTGTCCGGGGGGGCCAAAACGAAACGACAGCTCTGCTTCAGAACGATCGCTTTCGTTCAGAATTCTCCTATTTAGGGCTTCATTCCACGGGACGGTTCTTGCTGGTGATTCGCTCGTTCATCAGTTCCCCCTCGCTCCCTCAGGGGTCCTCCCTCCCTCCCCTCCATCCGTGGCTGGCAGAACGATCCGTTGTGTGATGCGTTCGTGCCTTTGTGTCACGTTTTGGACGGCAAATATCATTTCATGTCAGTGAGAAGCTGCTGACGTGTGCAGATTCATACCCCGAAACGTACGGATGCAGCCTGGTTCTTGCATATCTCCACCCACCGTACAGTCCCCCCTCCCTCCCCCATACACCGCACTCCCCGCCATGCATTCGTCCATCCATGGCACCCCCTTCCCTCCTGCCCATCATGTGAACTAGAGCATCCACTGGCGTGAGAATAACATCTGCAGTGCACACTTGCACTGCCGTGTTCGCCGCAACCCCAGGCGTTATGATCACTGCAGCTCGCGTCCTGTCTCCATATCACATCCAAGTTTTCTGGGATCAAATCGGGTGGTCTTGCTAGCCGTCCCCTGATAACCCTCACTTTACGGCGACCCGCCACATAGGAAACAAACCCGTGGCGTTGACTTTAGCTCGCTTCAAGTTGCAGCGCATGGAGGTGTAAATATTGCTCCTTAGTCAGCTATTTGTTCCTGGTAACTCTCTTACCTCCCAGTCCGTCGTCTCAGCTTTCCATTCCCACGCGGTTCGCTTTCGTTCCGAATTCTCCTCTTTTCACATCGTTTTCCCAGCAGCACCACTGGCGCCGTTTCGCTGTCCCCTCACGCACTCTGTCTCCCCACCCGTCTCCTCGTACCCGTTGATATCCAGAAGCCGCGCTCACATGAAACGAACCCCCGGCCGCGGCGGCTCAGATGGCGCGTCGCAAGGATTCTCCTCCACAGCCGCCGCGTCCGCCGGCTTAGGAGGCGGAAGCGCCGTTGGATTGTTCAATTGCCGAGATCGGCTAAGAGGGATGGGTCGACCTCAATTGGTTCTGCTATTGGTAGTGGGGACTGCGGTAATCGCGGCGCACCTAGTGGTCTTTACGGCGATCATTCGTCGCAGCATGCATCACTGCGGGCCGGCAGCGGATTCGCCAGCCGGTTGGGCAGTCGGCGATGCGAGGGAAGCCGGCACGGTCGACTCCAGCAGCAGAAGTAGGTTAAGCAGTAGCGGCGTTAGCGAGTCCGCGGGGAGCGGCAACACCGGGGGGGAGATCAGCACCGGCGGAGATGGGGGGGACGGCGCAGTGCGCGAGGGCGGAAAGAGCCCGCCTCGATTCATCATGTACCGCATTATAGGGAACAACATGCCGCCGTTGCAGTGCCCTAGCCAGCTCCTCTGGAACACCCAGGTGCGAGCGAGCGTGTGTGTGAAGCGAACGAGCGTCGGTATCTGTCCAGCGAACCCTAGAGGAGACACGTGAGTTGACCAGATTCTCTGCCACGCGCAAGCACTCCGCTGCCTCCCCCGCGCACTCTCCATCGCACCCCGCTCGCTCCGCTCGGCCCCAGAAGTTCTTTCTGCACTGAGCTTGCATGGCGATGTGGGAAATAGGTCTAGCAAGTTCTTTGTCTCGTGGTCTAGCTTGGTCTTTTGCGGATGCTCATGGTCGCACTGCTGTCATCCCAGCTTTCGTCGCCACACTCCATTTGTCTCAAGAGCTAATTCCGCCGCTCGTTTCAAGTCCCACCAATCCCTTTCAATGCGCTCATCGCACGCACCGGCCACTTGTCCTGTCGTACGCCCCGGCTCTCTGCATCATCCCTCTCCCTCCCCCCCATCCCCTCCGTCTAATGCCCGCGCTACCGTCCCACCCTTCCCTTCCCCTCCCTCCCATCCCCTCCCTCCATCTCCCCCCGCACCTCCCTCCCATCCCTTCTCTCCATCTCCCCCCGCACCTCCCTCCCATCCCTTCTCTCCCGTAAACTCCCTCCCCTCCCAATCCTCCCTCCCATCCTCTCCCTCCCATCTGCACCTCTCCCGTGCGTTGTCCTGGCCTGAGTGCAGTACGCGTTGCGGCACGAGGGCGAGTTGGAGGGGTGTGAGAAGCGGTGGGTGATAAACCAGATAGTGAACCGCACGGAGCGGGCGCTGCTCATCGACTCGCTGCTGGCGCACGGCTACTCGCTCAACCACATCCTCATCCGCCGCCTCAACCTCTCCAAGGTGCTGCTCTAACTGCTCTAACGCCACACCACCGTGACGGTCTGAGCCACACAAGAGGTCACAAAGGACGTAACACACAAAGGTCTTACCAGGTGTTCCTCCCGTCCTCCTCCGTTTTCTTCACAACCGTGGCTTCCTGCATCGTCCATCTGTTCCCTCCCGTTCCTCCCCACGCCCAAGCCTAAGAACCCAGGCCCTTGCACAGGCCATCCAGTTCTCCCGAATTCAAATGCTAGCCGCACCAACTGCCAGGTTGCCAACCTCACCCCTCTCTCTCATTGCCACGTCGCCACCTCCCCACCCAACCCCTTCCCCGCCCCCCCCCTCTCCCCATGCGTGTGCCCGCCTGCAGATATCGCAGTACCCGAGGGAGCAGTGGCTGGACGTGGTGACGGCGCAGAACGAGGCGCGCAACGCCGCCATTGATGACGGGGTCAAGGCGGGGGCACGGTGGATCCTGCCGCTGGACGGCAACCACTTCATCACCCAGGAGGCCTGGGCTGCCATCCGCCGGTCCGCGGAGCAGGCGGAGAGCAAGGGGTACAAGTACTTCAAGGTCCGTGCTGGGGCGATGATGGGTGCTACCAGGGGGTCGCCGGGCCTGAGGACCTCAGTATATTGCAAGTCGTCTTGTTGCCCCATCCCGGTCTGCAGAACTGCACGAAATTATTGCTTGCGCTCAGCACACTCCCTCTTTCTTGACCCTATCTCACATGCATGTGGAGCAGCAGCACCCACCACCCACATACCCTAATGCGCGTTCTATTCGGCCCTCCTGCCTCTGTGTCCCTTTCCCGCACGGCTGTTGTATGTCCGCAGGTGCCAGTGCACCGGTTGCATGCGGAGCAGAAGCCAGCATGGCTGCACGCCAACTCCACCTTCACCACCGTCCGCCGCTACATCCCCCAGATGATTGAGAGCCAACTCGCCTTCCGCAATGATGCTCCCGAGCGATTCAAGGCTGGTCAGTGCCACTGACAGTGAGGTCGGGGGAGGGGGGGATGGGAGGGGGTGTGGTAACGGTCAGTGGCGGGTTGGAAGGAGGGGTGGAGAAAGGGAGGCAAGCGGAATATGTGAGCTGGTTGGAAGGTGCTAACGAGCTCGCCACAACAGGTTGTCTCACTTCTCTTCCCCCCTCCCTTCTTCCCCTGCCATTCCATCCTTTCTTCCCCTGCCATTCCATCCTTTCTTCCTTCCTGTCAGTGCCACATGATCCCTTACTGATCCCCTCCTCTCCGTGCATTTCCCCTCCTCTCTGTGCTTTCCCTCCACCCCTCCTTTCCCCGAACCACCCTCCCAGGCATGGTGTACGGCATGCAGAACAAGCTGGAGCTGCTGCAGCGTGCGTGTGGCGTGGCAGGGGAGGCGGGGTACAAGGAGCAGTGTGGGTGCGCCGACCTGGGCAAGGAGGGGCAACTGCACCCCTCCGACCCCACCATTGCTGCCACCTGCGGCTACTCCCTGCGCCTCTGGTTCTTCCCCTGTAACGGCACCGAGCCCGACAAGGTGCGTGCTGGCAGCAGTAACGAAATGTTGTCCTTTGGGCCTTGGTTCTGCCATTCCTGGAGTGGGGTTGCGGGGAATGTGTTCTGTGTGCCTGTCTTCTTGCATGACTGGGGGGTGTCCTTGTTTTTGGCTATCTGGCTTGTAGTGAGTCCTGCTTGTAGCGTGAGAGTAGTGGTGTTTGCCAGTTGCATGTTGGCACATCCCCCTAACCTGTATTTCTCTTGTGTGCCAACAGGTGTTCAACAATGGTCTATACCGCAAGAGATTGCGCACCAAGTCTAGGCAAACCATGCATGCTGTAATCAAGAACCTCATGCGCCATCCAAATGTTTTCTATGTATGACAAGTAGTGGGTCTCTTTGTGATTTGTTAATTTTCTCTATCCACAATGGCTCGTTAGAGTTGAGAAACTGGAGGAACTGTGTTACGAGTGCAATTGAGTGAACGAACGAGAATTGCACTATCGAAGCAAGAATCCAATGAGCAAAGGCATGAGCGAAGAATATATAGCGAAACTACAGTGGTAACGGTAATGGACTGTGGTTGTCGTGCGATGAGCCTGGGACTGAGGTTGGGAAAGTGTCGAAGCGGAGGCCCGGAGCGCGGGTTACCAGCCGAGCCGTCAGGTCGGGGTGCGATGTGCGAAGATGGCGGGATGATTGTCGATGCGAGGATCGCGAGTGGTAACGGTGCTGACTGAGGTGCTACAGTGATGTACGCGTTGAGCAGGGATGCGAAGTAAGGAAAAGGGATTTTCCTCACAAACTGGGTGTTGGCAGGATGTTGTGAGGTGGGTCGAGATATAAGTCAAGATTCAAGAATATCTTGGTCAACTTGTATCGGAATTTTGGAGTAATTCCGGGCCGGCTGGCACAACTCGCCAGCGCAGCAAAGCCGTCCCCATCTTCTGAGAATTGCACCAACCGCTTTGCATCATCTCCGCGATTGTGGAGCTGGTTGTCAGATTTCCTATCCACCTGCTGCCATCGTGGCAGAAGTGACCAGCTTTCCCGTTTTAGGCAACCGTCAAACCGCGGAATTCCCGTAACCTAGAATTGCTTGTTCTGCAAGTTTCAGGCTCGCTCGATCGCCTGAATGTCATGCTCCGAAGAGATACTGTAGTGCATTATTGTCCTACACATTGATGACTTCTTTCCTGCAATCAGTCCTCAGCAAATCGTGTGCCATTCATGTCGTGAGACTGAAGCCAGAGGAAAATACCGAGATGGACGAGACAAAAGCGGGTGAGAGTAAAAAATGCTAAAGGAGGAGAGGTGAAAGGAGACGAGTCTAAAACGAAAGAGATCGGAGTCGGAGAGGCTAAGGCGGGAGAGACTGGAACGGAGGCAGATACAGCGGGAGAGACTAGAACGAAAGAGGTCAAACTGGTAGAAACTACAACGGAAGTAGCTGAAGTGGGAATGACTGGAATGGACGAGGCGAGAACGGAAGCGGCTAACGGGGGAGAGACTGGAATAGAAGAAGGTGCAATGAGAATGAATATATCGAAAGAGGCTAAAGTGGAGGAGACCAAAATGCAGGAATCGAGAAGGGGAGAGACCGTAATAGGAGAGGCAGACGCGAGAGCGATCAGAACGAAGGAGGTTAAAACGGGAGAGGCGAGAACGGAAGAGGCTGGAGCAGGAGTGACTAGAATGGATGATGCTACAACGGGAGAAGCTAGAATGGAAGTGGATGAAGCGAGAGAGGCTGAAGGGGGGATGACTATAACGGGAAAGGTTGAAGCGGGAGAGGCAGAAACGCAAGAGGTTAAAGAGGGAGAGACGATTGCGGAAGGGGCTGATGCGGGAGAGATTGCAATGGACGATAAAACAGGAAACAATCTGGCAGGAGTGGCTACAGCGGGAGAAACTAAAATGGCGGAGGCTGAAGCGAAGGAAACTGCGACTGAGAAGGTTGAGGCGGGAGAGACTAGAGTGGATGAGCCTGAGGTGGAAAAGACGGAAGCTGCCAAACCGGAAGAGACGAAAGCGGAGGACGTTCTAGTGGAAGAGATTAACACGGAAGAGGCTAAAGGGGGAGAGGCAGTGAAGGAGGACTCACCTTGGGACCTGCTGGAAATTCCGGCTGACGGCGGGCCTGGAGGGAATGAGGAGAAGAACGGTAGCGCAGCTGCTGGTGCTGGTGCTGGTGCTCCTGCGCCCAAGGGACATTCAACAGCATCACCAGCATCCGGTGCGAGCAGGGCAATGGGCGCTGACCTACTCAGAGCAGCTTGTGCCGATCTCGTCGCCAATAGCCCCCAACGCTCGCTGACCCTTCGCGAGCTACTCCCTGCGCTGAAGTCACTAAATCGCGCTGACCTGGCGCCAGCTCTAGCGGAGGTGATAGGCGCAGCGGAGGGCAGGAGTCGAGGTTCCGCGCACGAAGGGCGTCTGCGGAGCGTTCTTTCCGCAGATTCGCGCTTCACGATTCAGGGAATGGGGAACTCGGTGAGCGTTGCGCTCGCGGCTGCGGAGAGTGACAGGGAAGAGGGGGAAGGCGCAGGCAAGCGGAAGAGAAAGACGGAACGTGAAGGGAAGCGCGGGGGAAAGGGAGACGGGGAGGCGGAGGTTGCCAGTCCAGGGAGGAAGAGGCGGAAGGGAGTTGGGGAGGATAAGGGGGAGAATGCCGAGAAAGGCTCAGGCTCAGGGGAGAAGAAACGAAGAAAGAGTACTGGCGCTGGAAAATCTACGGAAGACGAGGAACGGAAAGACGGAGGCGAAGAGAACAAGGTGAGTCGTGTACGGTCAATGTATGGTGAGAGCACTTCACTGTCTCGTCCGTCTGCTAATGCGCTTCACCCGTTGCTCAGAACCAACAAAAACCAGATTATGTTTCCGTTTATAAATAATAGAATTCAACCACCCAACAAGTCGTGCCAAATATATACCGTGAGTCAAACGGTTTCTATATCTGTAAGCATGAGTGTGTCCGCCTTTGCATGTACATGCCCGTGTGCATGCATCTTCTCACGTCTGTACGCATGCGGATGTGTAATGCGTGTGTGCGTGTGTGTGTGCGTGTGGGCGTGTGCGTGTGCGTGGGCGTGTGCATGTGCATATGCGGGTGGGCATGTGCGTGGGTGTATGCGTGTGCGTTTGCGAGTGGGTGTGCGTGTGCACGCGCTGAAGCGCATGACAGAGCACGAGTCGCATGTGCCATCAGTGCCAGCGCAACGACAAGGAGACAATCACCATCTGCAGCAAGGTGCACACTCACCGCTTCTGCGGCGGCTGCATCCGCAACTGGTGAGACCAGGTGACAGGGCCGAGTGCATATACTTTGAGAGGAGTAACTGGAGAGAAGAAGGAAGTATGGGGCGATGGGAAGCAATTTACACTGATGATGAGAGAGTATGCGAACGCAGTGGCTGCTGATCCATTGCACGGTGCTACCACGCCTCCCTCCATACACCAACAAACCCCAATCACGGCTCCCTGCGTGCAACACGCATCCCCCTGGCGTGCCTTGTCCTGTGCGTGCACCAGGTACCCCTACCTCACACCGGAGGAGATCCACGCCATCTGCCCCAAGTGCCTTGGCGTCTGCAACTGCAAGACGTGCCTGCGCACCTTCATGCCCCCGCCCTTTGTACGTCCCTCACTCGCTACTCGCTCTCTCTTCTCAACACTGGCCCTCTCGTAATCCACCTCAAATCCAACTGCAATCCCTTTTTTCTCCTCGCATCCGTCTTGTCTTCCCCATAAGCCGCCTCATTCTTACCATTCCGCACACATTCTCCCTCCCAACCTGGATTTCACCTTGTCCCTAGCCCCCAATTTCATCTCTTGCCAGTCCCGTTCTCCATCTCCATACTTCCCGCCCTTCTTATCCCTCTCACCCGCCAATACCCTCTCTGCCCGCGTCCTCCGCCTGCCCTGTTATTGGCATGGCAGAAGGCAGAAAGCTCCCCCGAGCAGCAGAGGGGCATGGCACGGTGGGTGCTGGCGTGGGTGATGCCGCACGTGAGGGCCATGCAGAAAGAACAGCAGCAGGAAGTGGAGGAGGAGGCAGCCAGACAAGCCATCGACCCCTCCTGTGAGACTCTACACGCCTTTTCGTCTTCAAACGCCCACGTCTTCCCCTCACCTGTCATTGCCTCATTTGTGCCCCTCCCTTTCTCCTTGCTTTCGTTCTCCCTCAGTTCCTTCCCGTCTCCCTGTCTACACGCCCTGCATACTCCTCATTACTGGCGCTTCTTGATTCAATGTGCGTAGCCAGCCTCGCCCAGCTGCTGTAACTCCGTTTCCGGCCCCATCCGCCCCTCAACCCTCATACCTCAACCCTCACCCCTCTCGCACCCTCACCCGCGCCCCATCTGCATGCCTTCCTTCCGCCCACCCCCACCAGCGTTGAAGGTGAAGCGCGCGGAGCTGCTCAAGGGCGAAAGAATATTCTGGTAAGAGTGAGTGGGGGTAGGCTGATACACGTGCGGGCTGTGGGACGGTCAATTACTGCAGGCGCGAGTGGGATAATGCGGGGCTATGTTTGAGGAAAGTGTTGGGTACGACGGGGATAAAGGGTTAGAAAAGAAACCGCAAATCCTCCTGATCGTCCTCCGTTCCTCAACCCTCCCAACCCCTGCTCCTCCCCCAATCGTCCCTAACGCCAGCCTTCCCGCTGCACTTCCCAACCCTCACCTCTCCTCTCTTCTCTCCCCCTTCCTCCCAGTTCACACTGTCAGACGGGCATAGCTGGGTTGCACCGCAGCTGCCCTAAATGCGCCTACGACCTGTGCTTGCAATGCTGCCGTGAAGCACGCTCAGGGGCCCTCCCTGGTGGCCCTAAGGCGTTCAAGGGGATGGTGGAGCAGGAGAACGCGCAGGAGAAAGAGGTGGAGAACGGTGCAGAGGGAGAGAAAGCAGAGGAGTCAGAGGAGGCGGAGGGAAAGGGGAAAGGCAAGTCGAGGAAAAACCCAGGAGGAAAGAGCAGCAGCAGGCGATCTAAGAGGGGTGCTGGGAAGCTGGGGAATAATGGGGAGGCGGATGATAAGCAGGAAGAGAAGCAGACAGGGAAGCAGCCAGAGAAGCAGTCAGACGGCAGGGCGGATGAGAAGGGCAGGGAGGGGGTGCCGAAGCATCTAGTGGAGCGATGGAAGGTGGAGGATGACTGGCGGGTGCAGTGCCCTTCCAAGGACTGCAGCAGTGCAAGAGAGGCGCGCAGGCAGAGCGAGGGGCAAGGCGGGCAGGGGCCGTGGCTGGAGCTGCGGTCACTGCATGCTGATGGGTGGCTTACGCAGCTTGTGGCACAGGCAGAGGAGGCTCTAGGAACGGATGGTGAGAGGAAGTCAGAGGAGATTGGGGGGACAGGAAAAGGGGTGGTGAAGTCGAGCGGGTGTATTGATGCTGCTGCTGTTGCTGCTGCCGCTGCTGCAGCACAGAATGCACAAGTGGCACTGGGGAGCATTCCCCTCATTGCTGCTGATCAGTTCCCGTGCTGCTCCCTGTGCCAAGAGCGTGCAACACAGGTGCTGCAGGAGATGACTGGCGGAACAAGCAGCAGCGGTGGCAGTCAAGTTGCTGCGACAACTACACTGGGAAGAACAGGGAAGCAAGAGGCAGCAGGGGAGAAGGAAAAGGAGGTGGGCAGGTATTACAGGAAGAGAACTAATAAGGCAGTGGGCAAGGAGGGGGAGGAGGCAAAGGAAGGCAACGAGGGGAAGAAGGAGGAGGAGAAGGAGAAGAGAAAGGTGGAGGAAGGCAAGGGAGGAAACGGGGATGGAAGGAAGGAGGGGCCCCCGATACGTGGTCTTGACTTCCTCATGAGACCCCAGCAATCCTCCTCCACCACCGCCCCTGCTTCCACCACCACTACCGCTGCCGCCACCGCCGCCGCCACTACCACAGCTGAACCTGCCGCAGCAGCAGCCCCAGCAGCAGCCCCCTTGCCTGTCGCCCCTGCCTGTGACCTGCAGCACCTGCATCAAGTGGCGGAGAGCCACGGGTTGCGCCTGGCCTCCACCCGACCTCCCTCCTCCTGCTCCCCCTCCAACTTCCTCTTCTGCCCCACCGCTCAAGACCTCGCCCCTGCTCCTGCTGCATCTCCTACTGCCGCCGGTAACTCTCCTCTCCCGATAGGTCACAACCCTCCAGCCGTGGCACACTTCCAGCAGCACTGGCAGCGCGGGGAGCCCATAATAGTGCGCCACGTGATGCCGCCGTCCGTGAAGGACGGACTCAGCTGGGCACCGCTCGTCATGTGGCGCGCGTTCCGAGAGACCAAGGAGGGGCGCAGCGTGCAGGAGAAGCTCACAGTGGTGGCTGTGGACTGCGAAGACTGCACTGAGGTGGAGCTTGGCACTCACCTCTTCTTTGATTGCTACATGAACGGCGAATCAAAGAGCGCAAAGGTCCCAGAGATGCTCAAGGTGAAGGACTGGCCGCCCACTGCTGCATTCCAGGACCGGCTGCCTCGGCACGGCGCTGAGTTCCTGCGCGCGCTGCCGCTTCACGAGTACACGCACCCTGAGAAGGGCTTGCTGAACCTGGCGACGGCGGTGCCGACGGGTGACCCGAAGGCGGACATGGGCCCCAAGGCGTACATCGCGTATGGGGTGAGGGAGGAGCTGGTGCAGGGGGACTCGGTGACCAAACTGCACTTCGACATGGCTGACGCGGTGAGCAGGGCGTGTGGGGTGAGGACGAGAAAGGAGGGATATAGTTGGGGCTGTTACTGAGGCAGTACCTTTCCTCCTTCCTTTCTCGTGTTCTCCGGTTCTCACCCACTTCCACATTTCGATGTTTAGGAGCACCTGAGAATATACTCAGTTCTTTCCTGATTCCCCTCTGCATTCCCTGCTTCCAGGTGAATATTCTGACCCACTGCCACTACCGCCCACCCAGCAAGCGTCTGCAAGGGCTGATGCGGAAAAACGCAGAGGGGAACGCGGCAGAGGGGAACGCGGCAGAGGCAGGGCATGAGAATGGTGTGGCGACTAAGAGCGAAAGCGAGAAAAACCAGGAAGGGAGCAATGGGAAAGGGCGAGGAGGTGGAGGGGGCAGCGAGCCGCAGCAACAAGCAGCAGGGAGCGCTAGCGGGCGTGTGCTGACAGCAGGGGGGGACGAGGGAGCAGCGCTGTGGGACATCTTCCGGCGGGAGGACTCGGACAAGATCCGTGCCTTCATTGCTCGGCACCTCCACGAGTTCCGCCACCTGCACAACCAAGTCATCCAATCGGTCTGTGGCCCATGCCTCTCCTATGGCCCACACCCTTCGATCCCTCCATATGCATCCAGATCCATCACACACTCATCCTGGTCCATACATGTTCTTCTTCAAGAAGCAATGACAGAGAGGCATGATGCCCACCTTTCCATTCGCCTTCCCTACCCACTCTGTCCCACGACTGTGTATTGTGTGAGAGTAGATGGACGATGAGATCCACGACCAGACAGTGTACCTCACTGCCCGCCACAAGGAGATGCTCTATACTGAGTATGGTACGTCCATGCCATGCATGCTCGCGCTGCCCCTTAAAACAAGCACACATCCAGCCGTCCTCTTATTGTGCATTGCGCACCATCTCCTTGCCCGTGCCCCTGTACTTCTTCAAATCCATAACTTCCATACTCTTGCCGCGTACCTGCCGTGCCGTCGCCTGCTATTGTTACTTGTCGACCCTTATCGCCTCTCCTCTACCCCTCGTGCCTTCTCTGCATGTTCTACGGCCCCCATCCCATGCACCTGCTCGCCTGAGTGGCCTGCAGGAGTGGAGGCATGGACGTTTGAGCAGCGCAGGGGCGAGGCAGTGTTCATCCCTGCTGGCTGCGCACACCAAGTCAGAAACCTCATGGTGCGGTGTCTGTGACCTGCCACATGCACGCAAGGCGCGCACGCACACCCACACACATGCGTAACAAGCATGCACGCACAAATCACGAACGAGTGAACCCAGTGCCCTTGTCCCAGTCAACAGGTCCACCACTCGTCTTTGTCATCTCACCTATTACACCATCCGCTCACCAATGCCTTCCCCCTCTCCCTCTCACCCCCGCTCCACACCCTGCCCCTTTCCCAACACCACCACGGGCAGTCGAACATGAAGGTAGCAGTGGACTTTGTTTCCCCCGAAGGCACCTCGCACTGCCTGGCGCTCACTGCGCACGTCCGCACCATGCCTGTGCACCACCGCTCCAAGGAGGACAGGCTTGAGGTGAGCAGGGCAGGGGGGAATGACGTGGAGAACACCAGTGGCAAGTGTAATGGGGGGAGAAGGTGAGGGGGGGAGGGTGGGGGAGAGGGAGTGGGTGAATGATTTTGAGGAACACCCGTGAAAATGCCACCTTTGCTAGTTTTAACCGCCTAAGTGAAGCACGCTTGAGTAAGGGGAAAGATAAAGAGGTGCAGAGAAGTTTGATAAAATGTGGTTGTGTGTTCCTTATGAATGCCATCTCCCTGCAGGTGAAGCGCATGATACTGCATGCTGTGGAGCGGTCCCTTGCGATCCTCAAGTAACAAACTCCGGATGTGGGACATGTCAATCTGGTGACGAAATCATGATGTTTTTCTAGAGTGCTTAGGGGGTGTCCAGCTCGTACATTTACTGTTCGTAAGCCCGCTCAGTTACCACATTTTTTTGTTGTAACACTGTATTGGACGTGTCCTGCGGACACAATCAGCTTTCGTTCACAAGACGGCACGCCCCCTGCACGTACCTCGAGTCGTCTGACTCACGTTACTGGAATCAGCGGGGACGCGAACAAGGGTACAGCACCGCGTCCTGGCCACTACAGTCGTGCCCCCTGTATCGCTTGCATAATTTCGCCATAATTTCGCTACACTCGCCAACACAACCCCCCCCCCCCCCCCCCCCCCCCCCCCCCCCCCCCGCCTGCCCAAAAATTCGTTAGATATGATTGACGAGGGAAACGGTTACCTCGTTTCGAACGCGATCAGAGCACTGTTGATTCGTGTGGCGGAGAATGTGTCCGCGCTCCTGAAATTACAGGCAGGTGGGACTCAACTCACAATGCATTCGTTTTTAGGTACAGTGATTATTTTTGAACCTTGGGACTCAACTCAACTGAGACGTGTGTTGGCACAAAAAAACCCAAAATGAACGAACTGGACACGCCCTTATTACAATACCTAGAGGTCTTGATGATGCCTAACATAACTACAGACCCAGCCTTGAGCCTTTTCAGCATGTATCATTAGTTTGCACTATAGCTCAGCCTTCAGCAGTTTAGGTCTCAGATAATTCCCTTCACAGACTTCTACACCATGGCCTTCCACCAGCTATGTTACACTAAATTCAAGCAAGGAACAACCACTATATGGACAGTAAGAAAGTCCCACCCTTGGCCCAGAAATAGCCCACTCTAATGTGGGATGAGAGCAAGGTGGCTAGCAACAGAGCAGGAGGCCCCATGCGGTAGAGAGCATAGCCAAGGCCTGGCTCAATAAGCACGGTGTTATTTCAGTCCACGTGGCAGCTGCGTCAGACGGGGTACTTGGACTTCCGTGCTATCTTAGCCGCCACCTTCTTTGGCACCTTCAGCCCCTTCTTCTTCCCCTTCACCGATTTCCGCGCACTGAACTTGCGCCCACCGCTTGTCCCCTTGAGCGCTTTCCCCCGGGTCCCCTTGTTCTTCCCAATCACCTTGCCCCGCACCCCAAGCCGCTTGTTCTTCGCGCCCTTTCCATCCTCGTCCATGGCCGCTGCGTCCTCCGCGTTTCCCGCTCCTTCGGCGTCCATCTCCGCATCTGACGTGAGCCGGGGCGGGTTACGGAGGAGAGGGGAGGGGGGGGGGGGGGGGGGGGGGGGGGGGGGGGGAAGGGGGGGAGAGAGGGGGGGGCCGGCGTTAGGGGGTCGCAGGCACTTGGGCAATGGGCAAAGACGTAATTGGGTATGTGGAGAAGAGGGCATGACAGTAGCATAAGCTGAGACACATTCAGTTGAGGATACCTTCGCCTGAAGAGCCGCCAGTTTTTTTCTGCTCAATTTTATCGATGTGCGACGTATACACCGACGGCGCTGCCACTATAGCTTCGAGAATATTGCGAGTCGGCTCCTCCTTCGCGTCGTAGTGTTGCTCCGCAATGTCCCTCTTCTTCGCCTTCAACCGCTGAATGCGCTTCGACCGTAACGACTTGCCCATGCTGCCTTAAGAGCTTTATAGGTCTGTAAGTGGTGTCGCAACCGAGAAGAACAGAAATTAGTCGGTAGCACAGACTCCCAGGGCAAGAGTTTGAAGGTTGAGGGGAGAAGGTGTTGGTAAAATGAAACGCAGGGTCGGAGGGATAAGGTTTAGTCAGGGGTTGGTGAGTCGATATGGATGGTAGTGCCAAACATTTGTACACCGCAAAAGCAGCGTTTCCTGTTAACTGGTATGCAGTATTTGTGCACAGAATTAGATGCTTACTACTTAATTTTCAGTTGAAATATAACCGGATTATCAAATTCGCATAAACTAATGATCTTAAGTTTGCATGTACGTATATGTTGTATTTCGAAGTCACTGTATACGGTGGTATGAGAACCTACTTTCAACTTAGATGGCTGATGAATGTAATAAACGAGGTGTCCCAATCGGGAATACTCTGTGTGGGCTGCGTAAATTTAGGAGGGCATAGCGGGGACGAATGGTAGAGACAAAATGAAGCCCTGGGCGCTGCTTGATCCGACGAGAGGTACACGTTCTGCGGGCTTTGCTGACAGCAAATCTGACCAATAATTTAGCGAACATTCCGTACGCTGCCAACCGCCTGAACGGGTCATCGTCGTCACCACCACCAACAAATCCAGACGGCGACGGCAGCTTCACTGGTGGCATGACGTGTGACCGTCGTTACCGTGGCAGATTTGGTTGGTTGTATTCAGCAGAGCCAGGTCTGACCTTTCAAATGTCCCGCATTTTCCGAACCGAACCGGGACGTTCGCGCCCCTGATTATGAACCTCCCACCAATAAAAATCATCGATGTGGTACATTTACCCGCCCGTCTAATTTCTGGAGTCGCCGTACCACCACCTCTGTCCTAGCGTGGCGTCCAGGTCATCCTCTCCAGCAAAATTGCAGTTTGGTTGGAGGAGCACACCGAGCATCGTCCCCCCACCGAACCTCCACACAAAAATGGTCATTCAACTGGGCGCGCAGATCCCAGATTTGACCAGACCAGATTTCAAGCTGCCCGGGTGCCTCCTCATTGGCTACCCTGGAAATGCCGAACCTGAGTACTGGATTGAAGGGTGCTCGTGGGCTCTGTGAGACAGTTTAGGTTCGGCCAGAATGACCGAAGTAGTGACGGGCAGGACAGGACAGAGAGATGGTCGATGCGGAGGGCCGAGCAGAGCATCCACCATTGTTGAGACCGCCGCCGACGTATCCATGGCGGTCGGTTTGGGGAATGGCGCGTCAGGCCACACCCACACGGACGAGTTCCTTGTGTGTGACGGGACTTCTAACCTCGTTCCTCCGCACTTCGTTGCTCCGTCCCCGTAATCGCCTCGGGTTGATCTCGCTGGCTCAAGCCAGTGCATTCAGCCCTGCACTAACTCCTCCCTCTTCGTCGCCTTCTGGCGAAAAGGAGTTATCCGCCATGGTACGGAGAGAAGACAGAAGCATGTCACCGGATAAGACTCCACGTTCTTCCGTCGTTCGCGCAACGACACAACCACATTCCCTCATGACTCCAGACCTCGCCACATCTCCTTCCAAGCGCCCCGTTTCCCCGGCGCCGCAGTCGCAGACGAGTCGACGATCGCGAGCGGCGGAGCGACGATTCATGGCGGTGATGGCGGTGGGCCTTATGATCGCCATGAGTTCCTCCGCATTCGCCGCCGCAGTCGACACATTCCCGCAATGGGGCCCTAACATCCTCTCTCGAGCCGCGCGCTTAATCTCCGACCAGTCTCCAGTCTCGGATCTTATCTTCCGTACTAGTCGCGGGTTTTTCGGCATAAGCACCGTCCGACTGGACGAATCCCTAATAGACAGAGTACTCGTCTCATCCAGCAGCAGTCCCGCCGGAAACTTCTACGTCGCGTTGTCGGCATTGCTCAGCGCGTCTGGGATCTGCTGCGCGGCCGTTTTAACCCACGGCCTCGGCGGGCGAATGAAGTACCGCCACCTGGCATGGATGTTCTTCCAGCCGTTCGTGGGCGGCGTGCGGTTCATCTTAATGCAGGCCATGGCGTGGACGCTCTTCGCCTTCTCCCTCCTCGTCTTCTCCAGCGTCGCGTGCGTCGCCGCATTCATCGGGCGCGCCTTGCTCGGGCAAGGCCTCCTAGCTTCCGCCGGCGTCACCGGCCTCGCGTCGGAGTTCCTCTTAATCGCCTCCTTGCTTATCTTCGAGTCGCCCAGCGATTGTTCAAGCGCGCCGAGTAACGACTTCCCGTCGCCGTCCACCCAACGGCATTCACAAAGTAAAAGTCCGACAAAGCCGATCCACGCGACTCGCGAGTCGCCTAGAAGAACAGTGGAGGAGGTGACGACAACAGCAGCTGATTCGGAAACCGCCGCACAAGTGTTACTCCCGAAACAGGCTGAGGAGCCAGACGAGACTGCTGTAGCAGCACGCGGAAAGGAGGGCACGGCGGGGAAAGCGGCGAAGCAAGGGGGCGCAGACGCGACGACGGAGAAGGGCGAGATGCGCGTGGTGTGCCCCGCGCCGTGGACTTCGCGCCAGCTCGCCATCGCCACGCGCAGACCCGCGGAGATGCTGTCCCTGCTGCTGACGGGCGCACTGGGGAAGGCGTTGAAGGGCGCGGAGGGGTTTCTAGGCGCGAGAGATGGTGCGGAAGCGGAGGAGGAGAAGAAAGGGGCAAACAGACTGCAACCGGCAGACGATGGGGAGAAAGATGAGCGGAGCAGCGGCAAGACCGCGTCGGACGCGAATGGCGTTCCGGAATCCATGCCGCTACTCGCGGCGGAGGAGAACGAGGAGAGTAAAGACGGGGAGAGGTTGCAGCTGGACGCGCCGTTGACGGCGTGGGAGGTGCTGTGGTGGTGCTGGGTCAAGACGCGATCCTTCTGCTCCGTGTGCTTCCTGTACGCGGTACAGCACGCGCTCGCTATCGCCATCTGCATGCCCGCCGTGTGCTGCGAGCTGCGCACGGCGGCGGCCATATACGCGGGCGTGCTGGCGGCATTCGTCTACTGCAACACATGCGGGAACGACCGCGAGAGGAACGGCAAGAGCCACTGGCTCTGGCTACAGCCATAGTAAGTGCCCCTCATCTCGCCGCATCCGTTCGTGTGTCCTTCTGTGCTCGCCACGCTGATTGCAGCAGTCAAATCCTCGCTTCCCTTGCCTGATCCCATCAACCTCTCAACTCCTCGACCCTTCTCCTCCGTTTCTCCTCGCTTCCCCTTTTTCCCTGTTCTCCTCCCCTTGCGCATTCCCCGCGGCGGCTGTGGTACGTTCCGCGGCGCCCGTTGCGCGCGCGCGCAGCTGCATGTGGCTGTTGGAGGAGTGTTCCGCGGCCTACTTCAACACTGTGCGCATCGTGCGC